AGCCATTTCCATTATTACTACTATTCGTATTACAATTCCCATTATTAGACCCGTTATTATTCCCTTTATTATTGTTCACTACAAAAATTACATGCACATGTATACGAAATGTGCTAATACATGTGGTATGTAATAAAACATGCATTATACCTCATATGGTTTGATTTAATTGAAATATATACTGATTGACTTGTAATCCAGTTTTATACATGTATATTATTAATACATGTAATGAATAGTGATAGATTTTAAATCATTTTACATGTACATGTGTACAGAATTCTCTAATACGTAATATTGATATGTATCGTATAATAATGGTAATGGGTCTTTGTTTGCAGATTTTAGGGTTGATTTAATACGCGCGATTTATTTATATTCTAAAATAACTTATAAAAAGTAAAACCTCAATTTTTCCATAGGAATTACTATATAAAGTAGTCAAATTGCTAAGCAGACGCCAAGATCCCACATGTATCTGAATTATCATTGGGGACACACTAATTACCGATACGCAATGCATTGTTCACACAATTGTTTGAATAATATTTCGCATTTTTTTTAACACATGTACATGATGATGATATAATTTGAAAATTTATATAAATACACGTACTGTATACGTAGTTGTTATTTGCTTCCTCGGAAAAATTGTCAAGCGCTAACAAAGAGAAAAAATTATTAGTTTTATCTATCTATTTTGATTGTCACTGATAACGTAACAAAAAGACAGGAGTTATAAAAAATAATCATCATACGATTAAGAAGATAAACAACAAGCTTACCTAATAAAATTTAGATTTACCAAAAATGGTTAATAAATCGGTCAAGTTTATCCTTTTTCTAGTTCTTACTGCGACTGTTTTAAGTATTTTATCAAAACCAATATCTCAGGATGTTGTCGCTGCTGAACCGATAAATGAAAATTATATAAGATCCTTCAACGAAATTGTGAAAGTCAAAAAACGTCAAACGAACGGACAGAATAACGGAGACGCTTCAAAAAATAACGGGCAGCATAACGGACAAAATAGTACTGGCGTAAATAACGGCAATAACAACGGTAACAGTCCTTTTGGTTTTGGAAATGGCAACAACAACGGAAATAATAGCACCGGATCAAATAACGGAAACAACAACGGAAACGGCAACATCGGATCAAATAATGGAAACAATAATGGAAACAACAACATTGGGTCAGGTAATGGTAGCAACAACGGAAACAACAATTCCGGTTCAAACAATGGAAACGGAAACGGGAACAATAATAAAGGGAATAATAACGGGTCTAATAATGGGAATTGTAATACGAATAGTAGTAATAATGGAAATGGCT